CCCCCCCCCCCCCCTCCCCCCCTGCCCACTCCGTGCCGCGCGCCCCTCGCGGACCAAAATCATGTGCGGGCGCGGACACTCTCACATACGCACAGGCGACTACTTGCCCGATGCGACCTGTCGCTTGCAAGGCATGCAAGAATAAGGTAGTGGCGTCAGCTCTTTCGAGGCACGAAGCAGAAACGTGCCCCATGAGGATGGTGGAGTGCGAGCTGGGCTGTGGGGACATTGTTCCCGCGTCAGGCACATCCCGCCATCTCGCCAAGGTTTGTCATGTTGACTACAAGCGTACATCGAAGTCAATTGTAGCGTTGTACATTTCAGCAGCAAGCTTGGTGCGCGCGTATCGTACCTTAGGCGACGCTTGTTGCCGGGCAAACGTTTGAGCTTTGCGAGGGTGGAGGAATGGGTAGATTACTACCAGTACTCGGGAGTGTGTTTCGTTACAGGAAAGTGGAAGCGCTCTCTACTAAGCGCATCGCCGTTAATTAGTGTTTCCACACACTCCGACGTTTTAGACCGGACGAGAAGAGAAATAGGTCATGTGTTCCACAGTAATAGTGTAACAGTGTGAGAGTGACGATGTTCTAGGTTGAGGTGGCTGGTGGCGGGTGGCGGAGGCCAGAGAAACTGGATTAAAACACATCCGTGTCGGTTTGATTCGCCGGCGCCGTAGGGAGATTTCGGCAGGTGTCAAAATATTCTGAGCTGGACGTGTCTCCACCATAACCACCCCCAAGTCACCCTCCACCCTTTACCCCCCCCCACACGGTCCCCCCGCCCCCGGTGTTTGGGTTGGGTTTTCGTCGCTTGGCAGCGACGTTGTAAAACAAGCCAATTCACTTCGTGAACTCGGCAACCAGGTTACCGTTTGCTTTTTTTACCTCCGTTTTTTTTTTGGCGGTAACCATTATGGTGGTCGAGTAGATCATGTTGTGCGGGGTCGAGAACCCTCACTCCGCGCAAGGGGGGTGATCGCACCACGTTTTGTGAAAATGGTCACGCATCCTCGACGCAGTTACACAGTGCTTACAACTGTCTCTGGAAGTGAAGTACCAGAAAATATATTAAGTCATATGTAGCTGTCATCCGTACGCAAGGAAGTAAGCACAAGATGCCGAACACCCTTAGCAGGATGCAGCGCACCCTTCATGCGACTCGCCGAATATCTCACGGCGCTTCGCGCTTGGTGATGTGAGAGCCTGGTCCGGTGAGAACCCGGCGTGCTCCGTCCCGGCTTTGTAGGGATGCGTGGTCAATGGTCTAACGACTACGGCATGCACGACTATGAGTATAACGGTCCGGTTGCTAAATCATGCGTGATACCAGGAAAACTGCAAGAGGTTCTTCCCCGAAAAGAGCCATCAACGTCTGTCACAATATCTGTCTGGATTAATTTGTTCTTGCTTTTATGATTATTCCCGAAAAATTGTGCACATGAATGAGGGTATTCTTCTGACGCCGAATCGACGCTGCATGATATTGACTTTTCGTGACACCTGGCTGGACTGGACTCGGCTGGCCGGGACCTGGATCAGACCTGTCCGCTCATGCGCGTGACGTGCCGGCTGGGCTGCGGACAGTCGATGAGCCTCAAGATGCTGGCGGAGCACGAGAAATCGCTGTGCAGCGAGAGGTTTGTGAAGTGCAGATGGCGCTGCTCCGAGGAAGTCAAGGTGCGGTTCAACATTTATAGGCTGGATAGATACAGAGTTGCAGATTACACGGATTGCAAATGAAATTTGGCTCGAGAAATTTCGGGGGGGGGGGAAGTTGAATCGAGACTGTAGCAGGGCCTACAGTAATACCGCACATCACCGACCCAGGAGGTGCTAATGCCCTTTCCATCCGGTCGAGATGAATCACTACGACACGTGATTTTGATGCCCATCCCGGGCTAAACGAGTCGTTGCACATGGAAGCTGGAGCGGTGCTTGCTCTCTGCCGCGAACAACGTATTATGGCAGCTATGACCAAAGCAGACCTAAAGCAGAACCAACCAAGCAGTTCGATGCTAAGTTGCTCATGCTTCTCGGCCAGCAAGAGGGCAAGATCGGAGGAGAAAACTGCGAAGAACAAACTCGCCAAACCGTTGTATAAGTATAGGTAGGTTTGTCAATACTACACATCGTTCGTCTTTTTTCCGCCCTGATACACTTCGCCGTCCAGGCCAAGCACATCGACGACCACGAAAAGTTCGAGTGCAAGCACGCGGACGCCCCATGCGGAAACCGGTGCGGGTTGTACCTGCCCCTCGGCGACATGAAGCAACACTACGCCGACTCGTGCGCGCACCGCTTCGTGCCGTGCGGCGTTGGCTGCGGGTATCGGGTTCGTGCGAAGGTAACCAACTCCGCCGTCTCGAGAGAGGGGGTTCGCGTGTCATGTGATAGGAAAGGAAATATAGACTTGGGACAAAGAGAGAGTTCCAGCTACAGGTTAGAACCCGTCGCAACCGGACTGTTTGAACCTCAACCCTCCCGCTACCACCACCTATTTGTTGCTAGCGTCTCCACTTGCAGGCACGAATTAGCCTCTGCCGGACCTCGCTATTCGACCAGAGCAACCAGCACCCCTAGTACGTGTGCACGTAGAACAGTTTTCTCCGCCGCAAACACGCCGATCGAACCAACACAGCTTGTCTTGCTCGTCTCGAACCACAGGACTTGGCCTTCCACGAGAGCAACGAGTGCGAGTCTCGCCTCATCTCGTGCCCGTCTGGGTGTGGCGGCGGCAACGACGAGAACAAGAGCGGCACCGCCACCTCCACCGCCGTGTTTCCGGCTCGTGCTTTGGAGGTGCACCTGATGTACGGCTGCGCCCTCCGCTTGGTGAAGTGCGCGGCGTGTGGTGACGAGGTGACGGCGAAAGACCTGGATTCTCACAAGAAGGACACATGCAGGTAGGTTTTGGAGCGGGTCGTTCCGTAATAACCAAGTGTTTCTTCTCCGTTGTTGCCTGCGTACTCCTCTCTTTGATGTTGTGGGAGTCTAGCCGAGCGGAGGCGTTTACTCACCTTAATGTGTGCAACTTCGCTTCGCATACGGCATGCACATTGCTGTACGATAGGTGAGCCCCTGCAAGGTGCATATACACTTTTGCAGATAGCTCTAGCGAGAAAGGTACTTCCAGAAACCCTTAGCGTATCATTCGAAGGAGAATGCGCAGCTACAAGAGTTGAAAAGCGCGGTGGTAGAACGTTTTTAGTACAACGCGATAACTGTCTCTCTACTTATGCCCCCTGACTTGAAAATATGCGGGTGCTTCTGCAGCCTACATCACTCATTCTAGCAGGGGTTTATTGGCTGACGTCATCAAAGTCGTCTCTTCTTATGTAAGTTTTGAAAACACGACAATAGAAGTCCGTCCCTTTGCGTCATACCCTTCGTCAGACGGCGCCTGATTGCATGCCGCAACCGCGGCTGCTTCCTACAGCTACCGTCAGAAGACATGGTTGCCCACCGGGAAGAAGAGTGTTCTCGTCGACGAGTATGGTGCCTCCAGGTGACTACGACTGGTTCGACATCTTTATTATTGAATTGTGGCATTATCGCATCGTAACGCGGTGTTACCACATGATCATTCGCTAGAAGCACTTATGTTGATTTCGCGTTTTTCGCTGAAACGTTCGGCTCTTCAGCGTGCGATGAGACGGGGCAAGCTGCATCATCAGAAATTACTAACCCATGCAAACAACACGATTATTGTAAATCCTAAGACCTCCCCGTAGCGTTCCCATCCCGTTGCTGTGGAAGCGAGCTCAAGTGCCCTACTGCACATGACAGCTTGCCTTGCTGTGCAAAATACACTGGCTTGACGCCCGTACTCCACGCTTCAACGAGGTCTTAACACCGTCACGACCTCACTTGATTTACGTCAAGTTTTCCTAAAGAAAATGACCACCACATGCGGTCTCAATTCCGAAGCTCCAAAATTCATCGAAGTCAGATACCCAAGGAAAGTTAATGCTATTCTCGCCGCCTCTCCCCTGACCGATCGTTCTTTTTTCTTCTGTATATTTTGGGGGCGAAAATTCCGGTGTCACATTCGCCCTCACATTAACTGCTGCAAACCTCAACAAAAACGCAAACAATCACTTACGTACGCGAAAGGGCTGTGGAGAGGAGATGCGCGCCGACGAGCGGCGCCGACACCATGCCATGGCCTGCTCGATGCGGTACATTCCGTGCCCGTTGGGCTGCCCCAAGAAGGTACCTTTTTAACGGTCTCGTTATTCTTGTTGGGGGGTTACACGTGGGTAGAGAAGGGATGGGCAAAGTTTTCTTCCAATGGGCAGTGCTTGGGTACCCCCTCTAGAAACCGCCGGACATGTGGCACAACTTTGTTTCACGCTGTTTGGACTCTCGTTGTGGTCCATGTTACTCTCTCTACCTATTTTGTATTCACATGTGTAGGATACACGCACGGGTGGTGCTGCATCCATACCCCAGCGGAGCCCTCATTATCGTTAATGTGTCCAACCATGCCCCCCCCGTCGTTTGTCCTCGATGTTTGGGTTGTCCAGGTTCGGGTGTCAGAAGTTGACGATCACGTTGACTTCCTTTGCGTCAGGAGACACGTGGCGTAGAAAGAAGCGTGTTCAAATTTTGAACCCTCTCCAGCTACGTCGAAGGAGCGGCGATCGGTTGGATATTGCCTGACGTGGAGGCGTTGTAGTATGATGCTGTGTTCGCAGAAGACCGGCGAGTAGACGGGTGGTCGTGAAACTGGTGACATCTTGCTTTGTTCTGCGGTGTAGTAGGAACATTAGTCCAAATGTTAAGGAGTTGATGCGTGAAACTACCCCGGCAATGCATCGAAACGCTCAAGAGGTCTGATTAAAGTTTGGCGTAATCACGTGTAGTTTGACGGTGGTGTTGAACCTGAGAAGGAGTTTATTGCCCCGAGAGAGCAACGAGAGAGGGGAAAGAATTGGACGTATGTACAAGACTCGATATCTATAGGGAGAAGGAATCGTAATGGGAACACATGTACACAGTCTAGAGGTGGAAAACGCAACTAGGGGAGGAAAGTAAGATTTGCTGAACCCTCTCGGGTCAAAGTATTGAAGGCAACTACCGCACCAAGTGGAGAAAACAACCCCAGTGTCTACCTCTCAGCTCGATTGCCTTTCTCTTGGGTGATCCCGGGTGGTCCATCGACCATACAGAAACGACACATGAAACGCTCAAACGTACCCACCAACAGATGAGACGACAAAACAAGACGAAAAGCGACAGCTGGCTCGCCTGGGGGCATCTACATAAAAAAGCCCCCCTCGAACGACTATGATTTTCGCTCGAACAGGGAGCTTTTATGTGTTTAACGGGTAGTCTTTCTGTGTGCATATTTGTTTTTCCTAATATATGTATTTTTCTAAATTAAACCAGCAACTACTGTCAACATGACACATTGCGCCGTGTTCCCTGTGCAGGCCACATGTAAATGTACCTACGCAGATGTTTTTTGTGCTAAGCACCAACTGGTATCACTGATATAAATCATCAGTGTATAGGCTTAATTAAACAAACTCGAAATAAGTCAAGTACCCAGCTGGTTTTCCTCTACTCACTGTAAAGACTTCAACACATCCCCTTCGAGTGTAGTTATACCTCGAACGGGTAGTCTTTCTGTGTGTATATTTGTTTCTCCTAATAGTCTACATAGCGGAAAGTATCATGCCGGTGCCGTTACGGCGGTACTGCTGTTGTAACAAAATCTATAGATTGCGTGTCGCATCTAGACAGCGTGCCGCTTTTCCGCGCAGGAAATCACGCACAGGATATTGACTGCCTGTACTTGCAGTTCCTCTCTCGGCGCCTCTCCGGTTGAGCTGCCTCCAAGAGCCGGCCTCGACTTTTTCCAATCTCCAACCACCGGAACAACGAGAATCGGAGGGAGATCTTGAAGAAGAACCTAGAACGAACCAGTTTTTCTCGAGCAAGCTTCTTTTTCGGTTCATGTCATGCTATTGCACCGCCAAATCTGAAAACCAGAACCAGCGAGGAATGGCACAGAGACAGAGCCGAGAGCTCTTTCTGCTGGAGCTGTTCTGCTGCGCAACTACTGAAGAAGCGTGGGTGCTGGGCGCTCAACAAAGAAGCGCACATAAGCATGTATGATTCCGACGATGAGAGCGGTGGGGGCATGATGATTGTCTTCTCCGCTGATCCAGAGAAGCAGGCCGACGTTCTCGGAGCAATCGAATACCTCACAAGCGCGCTCCGGGCTCGTCAACTCCTTGTCACGCTGCACAAGAGGGGTGAAGCTGCTTCGGTGGAGCACAGGTGCGGGACTCCTTTCATTTTTGTGGTGCTTGCAGCTTGACGGGCTGCCGTGGTGGTGTGTTTGGAACTGTGCAACAACACAGGAGTTTCGACACACACCGCTGTAGTAGCCGCTCCGAATTCTGCCAAACAGCAAACGCGCCTTTCCTTTTCCTCGGCAAACTCCTACTTCAACTGCAACAGCTGTTTCTCTGCTCTCTGTTGGTTTTTGTGGAAATCATTCATGCAGCGAAGAAAAAGGTGGGCACCTTCACCCGATTCGGGCCGTTCCGGTAGTGTTGGGGATGCATTTGACGGGGTAGTACTTCGAAGCCACGCTGTGAATCATCATGTAGCTGTACTTTCTTCACACATCAGACATGCATCGTGCAGCGCCCGCCCTGAAGAACCTCTAGTTTTGGCGAGGCTCGGTTGTTAGTTCCAATGGGTCATGCTACGAATGGCCACCATCTTATTTTTTGTTTAGGGGTTCTTAGCCGAGCTTACAAACGGTGCTCAAGTTCTTACCTTGATCTCTTAACGGCCAAGCTTACATTGCGGGCGCTTATGTACATCCCGTAATAGTCGGAGAGATGGAACCGGTCGGAGAGATGGCACCGGTCCGGGAGACGGCACCGGGGGGGGG